CTATTCTCTGCATAGGCATATAATTCTAGGTTCAACGTTTTAAAAAAAGAGTGATCGCAGGGCAGTATACTTAGAAAATAGACAAACGCAAGCAGCTCCTGAAGACAACTGGCTCTAGAAAATGAAAGCATGATTAATTTGTAAGTATGTAGACAAGCATGCAAGGCTGGTTGGTTGGCTAGTTGATTGGTTGAAGCAGTTAGAAAAATAAATAGGGCAAGGCAAGAAAGGAAATGTATCACCATAATGTTCCACTGTGAAAAGCGTTTCAAAGCTAGTATTTTTATGAATAAGAGCCTGGGAAGTGGGGGGTGAGGGGGGTGGGCAGCCCCAGTGGGCTCAGTGTTGGGCTACTAACAGAAAAGATTTTCAAAGATCGCCAAGGAGCACACCAGATAGGTATTGAGCTAGTCAAAACCTTCTGATACAATGGAGGAAAAGGGAGGAAAGGTTGCAGAGGTGCTTAATAGGCAGTGAATGAGGAGAACTTAAAAAAAGAAGAAATAAACTCTTGAATAAAACATTTGTTCTTCGAAAGGGCCCAATACTTAGCAAATAATAATAAGGCATGTCAGTTAAGGATATCAAATAATGAACCATCTACAAGAGTTGGAAATGACTACCTCTAGGAAATGAGAAATAGAGGGAGATCAAGAAATTGGTATTTTTTTGTCCCAAGACTTGCATTGTTCTCTTGCTTCCAAACTATGTGTTTGTATAAGTAACTCTGGTACAAATAAAGTCTGAATTCTAAATAAACAAATAAAGTTTTCTGTCTGGCTATTTCCACATGTGCACAGCAATAGATATCAAAAAAGGGGAGATTAGGCCTTATTTTTGTTGTTCACAAAGCTTTCTCTATTCCAAAGACTTTCCAAATTTCTACACTCCAGCCTAAATATTCCTGTGTTTCTCCTGCTCTGGATGAGTTATGTTGACCTCATCATGAGTTCTTTGCTTGAAAAATTCAGTTGATCAACTACAGGGTCATTTGCCCCAGACAAATTCTAAAAATAAATGACTCTTGCTCTGATTAAATCCGGCAATCTCTCGGGCCGTTATGTAAGCCCAGTTTAATGACGCATTAACAACTAATGGGCTAAAGCTACAGTTCATGTGAAACTTGTGTGGAGTATCTCCAGGTCTCTCTCCTTTCTTTCTGATAAAGTGTATAGACAAAATAATTATGTCTCTTTATCTTGGCTTTTCTTCCTTGAAGAAATATTTCTTTTTAAGTTGCCTTTTTTAAAAACCCTACATTTTATCTTACATGTGGAATATTGACAGTGGTTGATTATATAAGCAGATTAGTTTGTTTTAAGAGCATCGTCTCACCCAAAATGACAGCAGTTCAAAACCACCTGCAGGTCCACAGGAGGAAGATGAGGCTTTCTACTACTGTAAAGATTAACAGGCTTGGAAACCCACAGAGTCAGTTGTGCTCTGCTCTATCGGGTCTCATGTGTGGAATATCTGAATTCAAAATAAATAAATAAATGACTAGATGACAGCGAGTTTGGATATTTTGATCTAAACCTTGGGAAATAGTGGTGGTGCTGTGAGGTAAGCATTCGACTGCAAACCTCAAGATTGGGGATTCAAACCCACCAGCAGCTCCAAGGGACGCAGTTGAAGCTATGTGTGCTCCCATAAAGATTTACAGCCTTAAGAATCCATATAGGGTCACTATGAGCCAAAGTCAGCTCAACGGCAGCAGGTTTACACCTTTGGTATTTCAGTCCTGGTTGCACAGCGGTTGAGCCCTCAGCTGCTAAATGGGAGGTCAGAGGTTCAAATCTACAGGCACCACAGGAGAAAGATTCCACAGTCTGCGTCCTTAAAAATTACACGTAGATTAAGCCTCTGGTGAATTCCCTCTGACCACAGGGAGGGATTCGAATCGCCTTTCTATAGAGAGCATTGTAAAGTCAATTATTGTAGATGCCGTTAGGTTAAAATGTAATATCTTTTTTTTTTAAACATTTTATTAGGGGCTCATACAACTGTTATCCCAATCCATACACACATCAATTGTGTAAAGAGCATTTGTACATCATTTCTCAAAACATTTTCTCTCCACTTAAACCCCCGACATTAGGTCCTCAAAATGTAATATCTTATCATTAGAGTTCCCTTTTGACCCATTTTAAAGTTGTGTCTGTTTTTAAAAAATGAAGAGGAAATACATTTGGATTACGCTTCCGGTGAAGCCCCTCTGATGACAGAGACTAGAGATGTGAGTACTCTTGCTATTCACACAGAGTGCAATGGAAAGTGGATTATTATACATGCAGTAAGGTCAAAATTGAACACCTTATCATTTTTGACCCATTTTAAATTTGTTCTACTTTTTAAATATTGTCTGCTTCCTTTTCGGTTGAGGGTTTTCTGTTACTTTGTTGTTAGTTTGTTGCTTGTTTGGTTCTTTTGTATGTTTTTCTGTATATGGAATCCAGGATAGGCAAATTTATAGAACAATAACTGGATTAATGGCACAGCAGGGAAGGTTGGGAAACAATGAGCAGCTAATAACAGTGAGTATAAAAAAGAGAAATTGTTCTAAATCTGATTGTTGTTGGTGACTAACTCTCTTTAATGACCACTATTGAATTGTTATGAAATGAGAATTACATGTCCAAAAAAAGCTTTAAAAAGTATAACTATGGGAACCCTATATCCTAGAGAGCAATTCTACTGTCACCTGGGGGTCACTGAATGAGTTAAAATTGACTGGGAAGGGATGCAAAATATACATACATGCCCATGAATATTAACAACTACAACACACCTCCTGTGCTAAGCACTTAGTATGCATCTGGCAGGGTTTTCAGAGACTTCCTCGGGTTTGCTCATTTAATCTTCCCAGCATTCCAAAGTTGTGGGTGCTCCCACTTCACTGGGAGGAGCCTGCCTTTCATAGTTTAGTAGCAGCCTATCAAGTGGCTAAGCCACCCTCTTCAGTACATGAATTGCTTGCTCCGCTGAGGGTGACTCCATGTGCTTGTAACAGCCCTGAGGGCTGGGTTATCAGGCAATAAAGACATTCCAGTGGTTTAAAAAGAAAAAACACTGCTTGGGGGATAAACTATTTTGTTTCATAATTCTGAACTTCTGCCAAGTCACTGTTGGACATGTATTTTAGAGTAAATCTTCTAACTTATAAGATACACAGATCAGCTGAACAAACGTCCACCATTAAATCCAAACTTTGCAAAACGAGAAATTAAAGAGACTTGAGAACATCTACAGGCTTTTAGGTTTCAAAAATGCTCCTTGTCGTCATTAACAGAAGCAACAGTCTCGGCGGCAGCCAAGCCCTCTAAAGCCCCAGCATTCCGCTTGAGCACTGTCAACTTCCATGGCCCTGACTCCAGCCACCGCTGTGAGGCTCAGTGGCCCCAATCAGTCCGTAAGCTGGGCTCTGGGCTGAGTGATCCCCTTGGCCGCGAGCCGCAGGCCACGTGCGCAGGAGTCGCCGCCGACAGAGGAACGGTCAGGCCGCGGAAGTCCTAGCACTTGGGCAAGCCGCGGACCTCGCCCGTCGGGGGCTTAGGCTGCCACACCCCCACCCTAGAGGTTAAGGAACCGGTTCTAGGGGCAGAGCATCTCCAATTCTGCAGGGGTTGCGGTGAACTTGGAGGGGGGGCGGGGGGAGGAGGTCTCCTCACGGGGCGTGGCGACTCGGCAGGCGCTGGACACAAATGGCCTTTTCCCTCATTAGCGAAGCCCAAGCCCAAGCCGGCCCCCGCCTCCTCGCCTGGCAGGGATTCGGCGAGCGCGCAAAACGCGTCCAAGAACTCCCAGTATCAACCCCTCCTGTCTCGGTTCTCTAAGCTGTGGGTCCCCGCCGAGTTCCAGAGGGTCAAATTGGAGGAGGTGGGAGGAGCGGAGCATCCACCGCCTCTACTGGCACCAGGACTGACTCTCACCTGTTCCCCCAAGGCGAGCCCCCAGGCGCCGGCTTGTGCCACGTTGCGCACCCGCGAGGGAGCCGAGCCTCGGGGGCCCTGTTGGAAATGGCCCCGAGGGCGAGCAGAACGGGGGTTCATCCCGGAGCTGATGCTCCGGCAGCGCACGCGGACGCCCGCTGGAACCCGGTTCCTCCCGGAACAGGGGTGTCCGCGCGCTTTCCCACGGTCTACTCCGCAACCAAACGGGCCTCCCCAGGAGCGTGGAGGGGGCTGCTCCCGCGGTTATGTGACCCGGCCCCCACCCCCGACACACCTCTCACTCCAGGTAATCCCAGCTGCCAGCCTTCGCTTTGAACTCTTGTTCAGGTGAAAAACTTGCGGGGCCACTGGAAAGGCGGTTCATCGCCCGCTTCTCCGGTGCGCGCTCCGGAACAGCCTCGCTCCCGGAGCGCGCCAGGGGAAACAAGGCATTTGGGGTAAAAGCACTAGAGCTCATTTCCAAGGGACTGGAGGGGTCAAGTAGAAGAAGGAGACAAGCCCGCTCGCGAGACTTAAAACGAAGCCAGGGGTCAGGGGAAAGAGGGCTGGGAGCCGCAGGGGGACAGCGGCTGGCAAAGTATCCGGCACGCGGGCTGCCGCGCTAGCGGGGTCGCGCGCCAGCCAGGGGCTGCCGAGCAAGTTCTGGCGGCCTCCGCGGACGCTCCGGGTCCCGGGTTGGAGCCCGGGATCCCCAGTGCGGCTCTAATCACTCACCCCGGGCTCGCTTAGACAAAGGCAAAAGAAAGCACCCAGGTGTTTTGACCACACCTGTTGGACCCAGGCGAGCCAGAAGCACAGGCTCCGACGCCCCTCCCGCAGGCTCCGCCACTTCCCGGGACCCTCCAGCGTGCTCCCCTGGACTGCGATGGGGGACCCTCCACGGGCATCTCAGCCAGAAAATGTGCAAGCAGGGAAATGAACGAGCGCCCCGGGTCGGGTCCTGGGCGCAGCGGGAGGCCATGGGCCCTGGAGAAAGGGGCGAGGGCGTGCGGGGAGCCGCCCCCGGGAGTCCAGGGCTGGCGGCGGGGCCTGGGGTGCACGGGTGCTCACCTCGCTCGCTGGACTGAATGTAGCGCACGATGTCGTCCACGTCCAAGTCTTTGGTCTCGTCGAAATTGTAGGCGGACGTGTGCAAGCCCTCCTCCTGGAACACCTCGTGGACCCCCTCGAGAGTGAAGTAACAGTTCCGCTCCAGCTTGTCGTCGCTGTAGACCAGCGCGGCGCGGCTCCACTGGTGGTGGCGGAACAGGGCGAGCATCATCTCGCCCATCTTGGCATAGGCGGGCGCCACGCGCGTGAGGTGCGAGTACTCGGTGTCCTTTTGCTGGAAGCCGGCGGCCAGCGCCCCGGCCGACAGCATGGGCAGGTTCCAGTGCGACGCCAGCCGGGCCACTGGCGCCGCCGCGTACTCGCACACTGGCCCCAGGAGCAGATCGGGCTTGGCCCCCCGCGCCGCGATCACTCGGTCCACCAGGCTGAAGAGCGCGCGGTTGCCGCAGTCCGAATCCTCGTAGGCCACCTGGAAGCGGGTGCCGGGCGGCAGCAGCCGCCGCCCGGTCCCGTTGCCCTCCACGCCGCGGAGCGCGTACTCGATGGCCGGCCGCACCCGGGCCAGGGAGAACAGGTAGGAGTCGTCCTGAGGCAGCAGCACCAGTACCTCGATCTTCTGCGGGAGCAGCGCCTCTCCCTCCCGGCGCCGGGCGCCCGGACCCGCGCCCCCGCCGGGCCCGCCGCTCGCCCCTCCAGCCAGCGCCGCCCAGCGCAGCCAGACGCACGCGGAGAGAGCGAGCACCCGCAGGGAAGGCATGGTGCCGCGGCCGCCGGCTCGCCCCGGGCCCCTAGCCCTCCCCGCTGCGCCCCTCCCCAAGCTTCGCTCCGAGGTCCCTGCGGCCCCTGGGGAGCTTCCCGAACACAGAGCTCTCCCCTTTGCGAACTCGCCAAACGATGGAGAGGGCGAGTCCTTCTTTGCAGTATCAGTAGTTGGAAAAAAAGAAGAAAAAGTTGACTGGGTGGAAGCCTACACTGCCTTCATTTCTTTATCTATACAACTTATCATAAAGATGTCTATTCGCTCTCCCTAGACGTATGCTATTTTGCTTAGAGGTGGCTTCGTATTTGGGCGTGCTGAGATCGCTTTGGAAAGCGTATTTAGAAAAGAAAAGAGAAAAAAAAAAGTTAGACTTGTCCAAGTGCTTGGAATTGACGGTGCATCTCCCTCGCGTTTGATCTCATTGATTCGCGCCGGTTCCTGGATCCCTAACGCGCGTTTAAATAGCGTGGCAGCCGAGGAGCGTGTTGCCACACATGGCGCGTCGCGGCCGTGCCTGTATTTCCAGCGGGTGGGGTGTTGGGGGTGGGGGCTCGGCTGGGGGAGCCTCTCATTAACATTCTTACATCAGGGCTCCTCCCCGCACCCCTACCCTTCCCACCCCACCCCATGCCTGACGCCGGGCTCCCCCGCCGCCCCGGCCTTTCCCTTAAAGCCGCAGCCGCACACGTCGGCCCCTGGGGGAGCCCGTCCCTCCCCGCCCCCCGCCCCCTACTGCCCCTCACCAGAGAGCGCACTCGCCAGCCCCCAGTCTGAAGAAGGGACATGTGTAGGGAGTAAAGAAATGCTGTCCACGCGCCGTGCAATCCCCAGCAGGATCGGGGAAAACATGGTTCTAGACGTGGGTGGTTTGGGTGCAAAATCAAGGGTCCGTCCTGCTGGCTCTCACCTCTCTCCGGCTCCAGACGCGCCGACTCCGGGCAGGTCCCCCCCCACCGAACAGAGTCCAAGGCTACTACGCGGCCGCCCGGCTCAGCGACCTGGAACGCCCCGCCCCTCCCCCCGCCCTTGCCTGGGGTCGCGCGGTGGCGCTCTGGAGTGGCAGCGGAACGAGGGTCTGGGGGTCTTCGCGCGCAGGCTCTCCGCCGGCGCATTTCCAACGGGAAAGAGAAACTTGTTCCCAAAGGCGTGACGTAGAGAGCTGTTCGGCTTCTGGAGGCATTCCCCGCCCCCACTCCCGGCATCACTTTAGTAAGACCCTGCTTACTAAACCAGGTAAATAAATATAGGGAGCATCTCCCCCAAAACGTTCTTCCAAGGGTCGAGTGCGAGCGGGCGCCGCTCTGTTCCAAGCCCGGCGTTGCCTTGCGCCCACCGCTTCCGGCTCCTGGGGGCGCGAGCCGCGTGCCCGGTGCCAGGGACGCTCGCTGCCCGGCCACCGGCCGCGGGCGCAGTGGCAGGAGGCCCGGACGCGAGCAGTCGCGGGAAAGCGGGCGCTCAGCGCCGCAGGTCCGAGGGACGCGAGACACCCCGAGGCCATCAGCCGCGCGAGCGCTCTGCCTTGGGCGGAAGAATGGGGACCCCGACGTCCCGCAAATTCAAGGAGACTCAAACTGTTTGGAGCTGTGCTTTCTCTCGACTGGGCTCCGGCGTCCGCGGTTCCAATCGTCTGAGACCAACGCCCTCTTTCGGCAAGAACGAACAGCCTTCTGGTCGCCGTTCCGCCACCGCGTGCCCCGCCGGGCCCTGCATTTCTTTTCATGCAGACCCTGAAGCGCTGGCGCTTCTCCTGTGTGACCCTGAGAAAGCACTTTTGGGGGGTGTGCGGGGATGTGGCGGCTTCACGTATCAGCGTTCGCCGCCTAGCATCTCGTGGGGCACCCTACCTGTAATTCTGGGGAGCGCTTCCTCCTCCGTTCCGTGGGTTTCAGCTCCAACGCCTGGCTTCCTGCGGCGTGTGCCCTGTCTGGTGCCCTGACTGGTGGGTGCTGCGAGATCTCACTCGTGGCCGCTCCACGCGTGCACAGGAGAACGGCCCCATAGGGTTTGCAAGGGTGGGAAGCAGTCGCCAGGCGTGTTTTCCGTGGCACTCGGGGGTGAGTTTGAACCGCCAGTCTTTCCACTAGTCGTGGAGCACCTAACCTTCCGTGCCACCCAGTTTCTAACACTGACTGAATGAGAGCTGCTACGCATATTATCGGGAGAGACGGGTCCCTGGAGAAGGACATCACGCGTAGTAGAGGAGCAGCCAGAAAGAGCAAGAAAGGGCCTGGACAAAAGGGGTTCACACAGTGACTGCAGCAATGGTCTCGCCATTGTGAGGATGACGCGGGATGGAGGCGTGTTTCACTCGGTTGTGCCTAGTGCCAGTCGTTATGAATCAGAGCCTACTTGATGGCACCTAGCAACAACAAAGAACGGCAAAGAAGCATCTGTTTAAAGCGTAATCCTAAAAGCAGGATGAGCCACCACTTATTACAAGCAGGGTAACCCACAGTAATAGAATCCTTCATGAACCTTTAGAGGGGAGCAGGCTTTCAGGGGAGCCTAGATTTTAAAAGGGAAGAACTGCTAAATCCCCAATCCCAGAAGTCTTAGTGAATGGATTTCAAATCCAGTTGCCAGGAGACATGAAGGAACACGGGGTATGCCCTGTGTCCAGGACTTCAGCCAAAGGCGATAGGATTGTGCAGTGGGTCGTGTGGGGTTATGCGGAGAGGCTGGGGTTTCAGTGGCACCGAGCCTCCGCTCCCAGACGCTGCCCAGCTTCGCCAGAGGGTTAGAGTAAGACCATGCGTTCATGTTTGTGAGCTGACCACAACCTCTCGGTGACCTTTGAATGGGCGCTCAAGAGCGCCGGCAAGGTATAGCGGTGGAAACAGAGACCCCAAAGAGACAGCAAAGGGAGGAAAAGCCAGCCCTCCAAAGCTTCCATAAAAATGTCCAAGCATAATTAGGGTCGTTTAAGAATGCTTTTCACATGAAGATAGGTATAAATGATAGGAAGATCCACCAAGCAATATCAGCCTGTGGATTGTAGTGCTATGGGGCTTATTGACTTGGATTTCTCACAGCCCGCTGGCAGTCTGTGTAAATACTGTATGCGGTGACCGGAACCTGAAGAGGGTTTAGTGCCATGTCCTCTCCACCGCTCAGACTTTGCCTGTAAAGCGACGGTCCCCAACAATTTTGGAGTTCTACAATCTGAAAGTTAGGGAAAACCTTAGAAGACTGCCTCGCTTTGCAGATTAAGAATTGAGGCCCGAAGGGTATAAGTAATATGTCTAAATACCTCTTCATTTCCTGAAACATTTCTAAATGGAACTTGTTTCAAAATAAAGGCCTCTTGTGCTTTGGGCGGCTAACCATAAGGTCAGCAGTTCAAACCCACCAGCCACTTCTGCTTCCCTAAAAGATTGACAGCCTCAGAACCTCAAATGGGCAGTTCTGCTCTCTCTTAAGAGGATGGCTTTGAGCCAGAATCCACTCTAGCACGGAAGGCTTGGTTTTCTTTGGAGTGGTGGGTGCAGTGAGGAAGGTAGCTTGTCCTTCCTATTATACCATAGAAGAGGATTGGGGTGAGCAGCTAACCCCACTTTAATTAATAATTTCATATCAAGAAGCCATGTGTAAAGCTAAATCTTGGGAAAAGTCAGCCCAGCAAAACTGAATTTTAATAGCACATTATTCTAAAGTAAATTTTTTGGGTAGCACTCACATCACACAGATGAACCAAAAAAAAACAAAACAAAACAAAACATAAAGACAGGAGAAACAAAAAACTCCACATCCTTTTTGCTCAATTCTGTAAAATACAAAAATGCAGGAGGCGGAGTGACAAGACTTCTTTTTACATTAAAAAAAAACTGGGTCTGCACATTCTTACTAATATTGTTGAAGAAAAATCAAGAAAATAATGGGGGAGATTCTGCAAAAGCAAAATACAATTAGCCAATCGACATTAAAGATGTTAGCCCTGCACTTGATTTGAAGGACGTTTTCCAGAATTTAGTAAAAATTTCTTCAGAACCCACAACCTGTGTTTTGTTTTGTTTGTGTTTTCAACCTGAAGCTAGGGAAATAAGGCGGCACATTTTCTAGAAGGTATGAAACTTTCTTTTCCAGCCCGGGCTCTAGATGTCTTTCCTCTCACGCCATCAGATGAAGAAACTCAACATGTGATTTCATGAAAGAGTTCAGAAATGTTATCAGGAGACAGTTCTACCACCCACTGGTGGAGGCCAGGCGGTTTTTCTCTCTCTCTCTCTCTCCCCCAAAGCCCTGACCACAATCTCTCTCATAAAAACCCACTCAGATTTCAAGGGCAGCTCTCCTTCCCCTTTGTGCAAAGAGCCCCAAGGTCACGTTTAAGAACATCGCTGGGAAAGTCTCCAGCCCACAAAGAAAATACTTCTGGGCACAGAATTGTTGAAAACATACTTCCCCCTAGAGGCAGAAAAGATGAAAGAATTTTACACTCACAATCAAGAGCATCTCTGCGATGTAATGAGCACTGAGATGTTCTTCTTAATGTCTGCTGGCTATTTTAGAGGGAGTGAAGAAAATCAATGGATGCCAAACGCTGAAATTAAAACAGTGCCTCCAGGTCTTCGCTTTCCTTAGCAGAGGCTCTCTTATGTGACCCTCTTTCTTCTGTTACACAAATGTGTGAAATTTTGCCAGCACCATGAATAATAGACACTCCATATTTTTTCTATTTAAATTGATGATTTGAAGTGATCTGAAGTGAAATGTCGCCTTGAGGCATCCTTTTGAAAGCTGCTGGCGGATTCGGTGCCTCTGGTCAGAGCTGTTTCTGTGTTAGTGCTCTCGGAGGCTCCAGTGCTTCTTTGAAGATGTTCTTTCTGAGGTGGAGCAACATTGCAAAGACTTTTGAAAAAAAAACACATAGCTGATCCATGATTTAATCTGAATACCAGTATGGGGGAGTCCAAGGGTGGCACAAACACTGAACCAAAAGTTTGGCCATTTAAACCCATTCAGAGGAACTCTGTTATTTCAGTTTGTCTAGGGAAACA